CCATACATGCTTTTCTTAATGTTGTGGGATTGAAGACTACGACTGTGGTTTCTAAGGACACCTACCATACATGCTTTTCTTAGTATAGTGGGAAGGCCTGGACTCCATACAATTCCCCCAAACAGGGGATATGCTAGGATGCTGTTTGGGGATATGTTGGGATGATGCCAAAATTTACACTAAAGTACACAAGACCTGAACAATAAAGAACATCTAACTTGAGCAGCAATGCAGAGGACCTGTACTTGAACAAAAATGCACAGAACTTGAACCAAATGTGCAGAAAACTTGTACGAATAATAGGGAACATAACTTGAACTGAACTACAAGAAATTGAACCCTAAACCCTAAAATGCACAATCAAGATCAAAATTCAAATGCCAAATAATAATTTAATTCATTCAAATAAATCCAAGCAAACAAGCAGGGGACTATTGACAAACAAGACTTTCGTGCATACAAGCAATGAACAATAGTAAAAAATACAAAGCAAATATCAACCATTATCACCTAAATACATAAGCACACATGGAATGATGCTGGTTGACACATGACAGATGTAGTGGACTCCTATAATAGTCCCTATGAGGTTAAATGCACCGTACTTGCAAGGGCAACATGATAGTCACATAATGCATAGGTGTCTCCTATATACATTATTGAAATCTCCAACACCAACAATAGTGCTTGTAGATTGAGATGATAACACTGGCAATTGATAGTGGAAGACACGTCCTTGCAAACAAGTATAATCAATGATCACCTGAGATTGGTGAAAGGTGAATATGATGCGAGAACAATGTCTCTTCTGCGAACACTTCCAAGAGATCGTACTGAATATGACCAGTCCCTATAAATAAATAAGATCCATTTGTGGATAATAACAGTGGGTGCATTGTGGAAGACCCCTATGGACACAAAAGTATACAAGTGCATATGACAAATACAAGCATCAGTTAACTCTTCGAAGAGAACCCACATATGAGGAGGGCATCCTTTTTCCTGGTAGAATGGAAGAGATGTTTGAGCAAATTCGAACTAAACTTCCTGATGTTTCAAAGTTTCTTCATTGCCTTTTCTCTGAGAGAAAACATCTTTGATATCTATAGGCTGGAGGTGCAAATGATCTTCGAAGTTTGACATTGCAACACAATATACCATGCACACTGATAGTGCTATTGTACCACTTTTGCCGACATTGTTCCACCAAGGAATACAAGTACCTACTAATCTCTTAGGCAGAATCCTCCCATGAGAAGGACACTTCCTGGCAGAATGGAAGAGATGTTTGAGCAAATTCGAACTAAACTTACTGGTGTTCGAAAGTTTCTTTTTTGCCTTTTATCTAAGAGAAAAACATCTTTGACATCTATAGGCCTTGGAAGTGTAAACGATCTTCAAAGTTTTACATTGCAACACAATATATAATGTATACTAATAGTGCTATGGTACTGCCTTTGCCGATGTTGTGCAACCAAGGAATGCAAGTACCTACCGATTTCTTGGACATAATCCTCCCTTGAGAAGGGCACTTCTTGTAAGAATGAAATAGATGTTTGAGAAAATTCGAATTAAACTTCATGGTGTTCTAAAGTTACTTCAAGAAATACAAATTCTTTCAATACCTCAATGACGATCAGACTGTTATTCTTATTGAAGAAGCCAGGAATGACAAGAGTACCCATATACCTCAACTTATCTTATAGTCCAATTACCTAACATTGGAGGCTACATATTATAGAAATCCACTATACTGAAGATTCTGAAAAGGAGTATTTTCAAGGCACCGGCCACTGATTTCAAAAAATAGGACACTAGTAAGAATGCAATCATTTATGATTGAAATGATTGATTCTTTATTTAAGCCAACAATAAAAAATGATGATGATGACATAATTAAAGAGCTGTTTATTGATTCCTATACCAAGCCTAAAAAGACCTATCGGTGAACGAGAAAAGGGAGTCAACATTAGGATATGAGGTGCCTCATGACATCCAGATAATAACGATACGATGTACTTGTAATCAAAAGCGGGAAATCAGTAATGAAAGACCACAGGCCGCTAAAGTACGACATCATGCCACCGGATCTACAACCTTCGTACAAGCACACATAAGGCGTCAACAAAACCTAAAATAAAGCCCCGTGCGTTCAGCAATAATAGTCACTTATGCAGTCGGACACCCCTTCGCATTGCATGCAAACATCTTAAAATATACATGCATTGTAATATGTAAACACATTGGTACACAAAAGGGCAAGTTCAATTGTACACCTGCATGGGCCCTGACAAGCGTGTTATGGGTACACACGTGATGTTTAGGGATGTTGCGCGGGTCAATAAATGAACATAGTTTGAACTCGATCCTTCTACTTAGATAGATAAAAGTCGACATGACTCGAACTATCAAATAGATATATGATCAAGGCATCGACCGAAATATCTGTTTTATACGTTCATATAAGGCTTTCAAGGTCTATGAGAAAAGAAATTAATTAATTAAAATCATACAGTTGTCAAACATGTTCTCTTATCGGCAAGTTGATAAGATCGACAAGGTTTAGTCAATAAAAATGATCCAACACCTCGATGATGGCCATGTTGAATGCATATCTCAACTAGAGGGGTAATTTCAAATATTCAAAATGCCCTCAAACGCACATAAAATCCAAAGTTTTGAAAATGCCAACATCTAAAATATTTAAAATTGAAATAAAACCATCAAACATGTTAAGCAAAATTCATCCACCATCCGCAACAGTTTACCGAGGTGGATAAATATGAAAATACTTCAGCTCACAAAAAGCTGATGCCTAGTTGAAAATATCATTAGGATCTATTCTCAAATAATTTCATGTCAGTAAGGACGTGGTACGTGTCCTCTGACCGGTGGTTTTGCCGCGGAATGTGACCGTAGGATAAATGATTATGATCTGGGCCCTCTGAACCGAGTGATTTTGCTGTTAAATGGCACCACTAAATTATGGTTATGTCCAGAACCAATGCATTCCTTAATGACATAAAACTTTTGAGATATGAATCATTAGGATATAATCGATAGGGCACAAAGACCTTTGTCAGGTATGGTGGATTCAAATTTGTCCCCTTAGATGAACACCCATCTTAGGTCTACAAAGTATTCTTGAACGAAGCAACCCATGGATGCCAACAAGGATCCTTCTATCAAGTTGGGTCGACTACCTCCTCTAACTAAGTAGACCAAGGAGCACGATGGCCCGGGACGACGGAACCATGGGATCTTGATCGGGTTCAGCATTCATTCCCCCACCATCTGCTTTAAGTGCAAGATGGTGCAATTTCAAATTTTAAATATCAATTCTCCAACTATATTGAAATGCCCATGCTGCTACTATATGTTAGATACTATTTATCTTTACGTATCTGATTGGCGACTAGCTTTAATTGAAAGTTCTTTCTCGTTATCGGGAGGGGTAATTAACTGCAGGGGCTTGCTCCTATAGGAAACCAGAACTCAAATCATAAAGTCCTCGCAAGATGAGGGCGAAACCTCTGGGTAGTGTCTTATCTACAAACTCATCTACCTTCTCAAAATTTACCCCGTAACTTAATTCCGTTAAAACTCCCCCAAAAGAAAGCATCACGGGGAGGCCAGGGTCAAATTTTCGGAGCCAACAACCAACCATCAGCTTTTCTATTCGTTGGGATGCTGCTATCTTCTCCATCGCTTGTGTCCAGTCTCATGCAGCTGCGGAGCAACCTCTTTCCTTTTCGTTCCTCTTCCACTTTGTCACCCTCCTGGCTACTGTGCTTCTCCATTCCTTTTGGATTCCTTCATATGGTTCGCCCTCTTTGTCCTTTTTCTCTTCATTAGTTTGCTTACTCATAAATAAATTTGTTAATGTTAAAATCGGTTCCTCTCATCAAACATATCCAAAAGCCATCCTTGATCTGTGAAGCTTAATCAGACAATTTTCTTTCTCTCTTTGCTACTACAACCCATCCATGACATGGATAAATTACGATATATGAAGATAGTTAGTACTTAAAGAGACAAGGCCCCATCTCCTAATTTTGTAAAGGTGTGAACTGTTAGTAAACGTTTTTTTTTTTGTTGAAAGCCAACAGTGGCAAATCTTTATTTATTTGTATCCATTGCGCTGATCGTGAAGCTGGTATTTTCAAGGGTCTTAGTGGACAGGCGGTTGCTGTTTGTACCGAACCATACTCTCTTTTTCCTCTTTTATTGCAAGTTTTGGTGTGAAAGGGTATATGAGAGTGAAGATGATTTAGATATTTGCATCAAAATGGATTTCTACACAAGGATTGAGGCATCAATTTGCTCTTGGACATAATAAATTGGCGCTGCGTTGATGAAACTAAAGCTGATTAATTAGGTATGATTTGGATTTTTCTCACTTTAATCCCAATCCAATATGAACTTAATCAGTTTAAAATTGTAGTTAGCATGCACTTTTATATTAATAGAATGAGTTCATTCATGTCTTTTTACATCCTTAAAAACTGTACAAATACAGAAATTATGCTGTATTTCATCTACCTTTCAAGCATTCATTTTAGATATGTATGCATGTTTTTTAATGTGCATATACTACCCCCACCCCCCAACCCAACGCGGGCGCGCGCGCACATATATATATATTATATTCAGTTTGCCTATGAAGTTTTGTGCTAGCAATAATGGTGATGCTAAAATCGGCATGTTGACATGATCATCAAAATTTAAGCAAAAGCAGAAATGTGAAATTCAACGCCAAGTGACTGGCTAGGCAAGGTCATGATACTGTCATTTTCCAAAGTAGAAGTGCAAAAATAACGATTAAAGATGGGACTGCAGAGATCACCAGGAAGTTTGTTTTATATAAATTTACTAAAAAACCAGTGCTTTACTCATTTGCTAACAAAACAATACCAATAACTATCACTTCTTGTAGATATATGTTTTTCTCGCTTTGATAATTACATATACACTTGCATCATAGAACCTACAATGCACAGGTGCGCGGAAAATCTGTGGAATGACTAGATGCAGAAACTGGGGGATTTTAAGCTACCTCAGTTCTTCAACTATCCACCATATTTTACGTAAACTTTCTCAACTTCAGCCTTTTGTCTAATATTCTCTTTCAAAAGTTCTAGCTTCTGGTGGTTGATCACTGAATCAAATTTTGATTTCTGAGTTTTATAAAATATGTAAAGGTTACCATACATCAGATAATCAGTTCAAAAATATTATGCTGTTACTATCTCTGCAAATGGTTTTGATATTGCTTTTCTATAACTAATTCATTTAGATATGTCTGATGGGTGATGATTGCATGATACATGTCAGCTAATTCTGTCTTGCTAATGATCTTAAGATACATTTAGAAGGAATCTGTTATGTTCACCTCTTGTAAATGCACCTCCTTGAATCAGGGAGCATTGACTTTTCACGCTAATGTTTAATGCTCAGATGCTTGTCCCAAGTATTTAACTTTCAACTTTTTCTTTATGATGAACAGCAGTTGCATGATTGCTGACTGGTGTTGCATGCGTTTGAATGAACTTTTTTAATTGCCTTGTTTATGTAGTTTTATTGTAAGCTGATCTTCCACAATGCCCTTCAAATAGTTAGTATAAGGCTAATAATAATGATTATCATGAATTTCCAGCACTTAGAATCTTTTATTATCATTCTTCATGGTGCTGAAATTCCGTTTCTGTAACAGGATCATAAACTGACTAGTTTTTGGGTGTGAATTCTATGCTAGCATTTCTGTTCAACTTTTACCTGCTTTTATACGTGGCTGGTTTTGAGCAGGATGCTTTATATCTCTTCAATTTTCTAGATGTGTGTGTTCTCAATTTTACTACTATTGGATGCTGCTCTCTTTTGATATTTTTCTTCTTTTTAGCTATTAATATCTTCACAAGATGCCCAATACCTTCAGTTGATCTGAAATGTTAAATATTTGAGTGGCTACTCAACCTGTTACAATATGCATATCTTGTCGAAACATTGATGATGATATTCCTTTATTTCCACTTCAGTTTATTTGATTTTTCGGTTATGAAGGAATGATTTTTATTAGAGTTGTTAAGAGTCATATGTGGGCTTTGAAAATTCTACCCTGGCCTCCGCCCGCTTTGCTTTTTCTTTTTGGCGAGGGAGTTTTAATAAAATAAGTTCCGGGATAAATTTTGGGAAGGCATATGGGTTTGTAGATAAGACACTACCCAGAGATTTCGCCCTCATTTTGCGAGGACTTTATGATCTGAGTTCTTGTTTCCTATAGGCGCAAGCCCCTATAGTTAATTACCCCTCCCGATAACGAGAGAGAACTTTCAATTAAGGTTAGTCGTCAATCAGATACGTAGAGATACGTAGTATCTGGCATATAGTAGCAGCATGAGTTTGAGAATTTGAAAATTGTTAAGAATTTGAATATTTGATATTTAAAATTGAAAATTTTCACCATCTTGCACTTAAAGCGGATGGTGGGGGAATGGATGATGGACCCGATCAAGATCCCATAGTTCCGTCGTCCCAAGCCATCGTTGTCCCTGGTCTACTTAGTCAGAGGAGGTAGTCGACCCAACCTGACAGAAGGATCCTTGTCGGCAGCCATGGGTTGCTTCGTCTAAGGGGACTTTGTAGACCTGGGTGAGTGTTTGTCTAAGGGGACAAATTTGAATTCACCTTAGCTAACAGAGGGCTTTTTGCCCTATCGATCTTATCCTATTGATTCATATCTCAAGGATTTGATGCCACTAAGGAACGATTTGGCTCTGGCCATAACCGGTATTTCGTGGTGCCATTTGGCAGCAAAACCACTCTGTTCATAGGGCCTCGGGTTATAATCGTTTATCCTGCGGTGCCATTTGGCAGCAAAATCGCCGGTTAAAGGACACATACCACGTCCTTACTGGCAGTAGATTATTTGAGAATGGATCCTAGTGATATTTTCGACTAGGCATTTACTCTTTGTGAGTTGAAGTAACGTTCAACTTGTCCACCCCAGCAAACTATTGCGGAGGGTGGATGAATTTTGCTTTAAATGGTTGGATGGTTAAATTTCAATTTAAATTATCTAGATTTTGAGATTTTTAGATTTTTGAACTTTGTGGAATTTTGGATTTTTAGATATTGATGGACATTTGAAGTATTTGGAATGGACCCCTTCGGTTGAGATTTTCGTTCAATGCAGCCATCATCGGGGTATTGGGATTATTCATTTACTAAACCTTATCGACCCTATCAACTTGCCGATAGGGGATTGGGTTTCGTAGGCTTTGTGCTTTTATTAGTGATTTTTCTTGATTATAGGCTTTGAATGCCTAATATGAATGTATAAAAAACTCGCGACCGGATACTTATTTAAGTGTTCGAGCCTTGTCGACTCCCACTTGCCTCATGGGAGGATCGGGCTCGAACTTGAATTCACTTATTGACCCGCACAGCATCCCTAGACATCACATGTGTTTCTACAACATGCTTGCCAGGGCCCATGCGGGTGTTTGATTACATTTACTCCTTTTGTGTACCTATATGTATACAAATTATGGTGCACATACAGGAGTATTTTTGGAATATTTGTAAACGCCTTCTGACCGCTTGCATTAATGTTGCGGATCCGGTGGTATCACATAGCAGCTTCTGAATAGAGTTGTTCGCTGCTTTATATAGGTAGACTATCGTGCACTACTTGCATGATTTATGCAGGTAGATTGTAATGCACTAACTAATCTCCTTCTTTGATTGTAGATGCTTGCATCTATTACAATTCTTTCACATTTTCCCATAGACAGCATGTTGAATGTAGAACAGGTGTTTGAAAATTTGTATTTGCTCGTAAATTGCGTGCTATATGTATGGTGAATTTCCTACAACAACCCATGGAGACTGGCATTTGTTGTAGTCCTTTGGCCTCTTACTTGTGGTTGATACATCGGGCATACAACAAATCTTCCATGGCTACTCATAAAGATTTGCACTTGTTGTAATCATTCTGTATTTTGCTTTTGGGTAACCTATTGGGTATACAACGGATCTTCTTATAACAGCTCGTAGGAGCTTGTATGTTCATATCCTATCATTGCTTTTATTATGATCTGTAGGCAGGCCTCTTATAGCATATCTATCCTTCTCATTTTAAAATAGACTATGATGTGCTCATATATACATTAGTCCGCATTGATAGCAAAGAATCCACTTCTCCTATCTCTCTCTTGCTTTACTTACAGACACATTACTGCATGATCCTTATTACAATTAGTGCATATTTCATTGAGGTATTGTATTTTGATTGCGAGTACATTGTTGTATTCTCTAATTGATCTTTGCTTGTGGGTAGATCATATGTCCTTGCCCTTTGTTGATTGTTGCTTGCGAATCAAATGATGATTTAATTCTTGCACATCATAGTGTTTCTGTTCATTATAGCTCTTCAAATGTTGCTCACTAACATGTTACATGCCTTGTATGTGATCGTAGGTGAGTTATTATATTCATTGAGAGCTTGCATTGTTGTCTATGAACAAATCATCAAATCATGCCTTTTGAAACATAAGTTCCTTTGTTCACAAGTTTCATGTATACTCCTTGTGTATGTTTAAATTCAAACTCTATTTGCATGAATTTCCTGTGGTCCATGTAAGTTCAAGTTCTCTTGTGATCATATTCAAGTTTACTTGTCTCATATTGTTCGTCTGATTTGAATTCATAGCGTTCAAATCATGGTTCACTTTGAGTGAAATGAAGCTCAAGTTCATTTCGTTCTCATTTTAAGCTCCTTGCATTCATTCATTTGAGCTCAAATGTGGTCCTTTGTTTGTTCAAATTGCAAATTCATGTTCACTTAAGTCTGAGTCAAAGTTTCTTTATGATCATATTGAGTTCAGATTCTTATCACTCAAGTTAAGAGTGAATCAAGTTCAAGATGAGTTTAGGTCCATTCATCCCTTTGAGTTCAAAACACTTCTTGCTCAAGTTTGATTTTAAGTTCAAATTCCACTTTCATTTTGTCTAAGTTCTTTGTGTCTGCATCCTTGTTCGAGTCCCCTGCGTCCTTGCAAGTTCGATTGCATATTCAAATTGTTCACTTTTGTTCAATCCGGTTCGAGTTCATAAGTCCCCTATAGTTCACTTGAGTTCGAGCTATTCTTTTGTTTTGTTTGCATTCAAGTTGAAGTTATTTATTATTAATTGTTTAAGTTTGAATCAAGTCCATTTGATGCTCCAATCAATGTCCAAGTAAAGCTCCATATTGTCCCAAGTACGATCTTATGTTTACCTGAAATTTCAACAACTTCCCGGCGTATACCCCGTTTAGGGGCAAACTATAGTAAACTGAGCCTCCCGCCATGTGATGCCCCAGATATCAATAGTGAAAGGATTCGTTTGACATTCTGATCAAACTCCATTCCAGTTGCCTTGCTCGGACATGAAAATTTCAACCACATATAATGAGCTTTACAAAGCCCAGCAGGTCACCTAATACCTATAACTGAAATCAAAGCACGGCTATGCTATCAATATGCATGTCAGTCAATCAAATCCATATTAGTCAATGGTCAATAAGTCTATGCAATACGGAAGTCCATAGTTAATAAAACCAGTCAATGCAGCGGCAGACGAATCGATAAATCAACTCAATAAATCCATGTCAATCTCGAAGAAATCCGAACACAAAAGGAAATCAATCAATCCGTCAAATCAATCGCTATCAAATCAAATCAATGCGACCTAATCAATACTATCTATTCAATGAAATCAAACGAGGAAAGCAGTACGATAAATCTCAATCTATTCTAACAGTGAATCCATGCAGCAGTCAATACGGTGCAGAAACAGTAACAACAGTGAATCTATATGCAAGATCAATAAATCCATAGGCAGTAGTAACAATGAATCTATAAGCAGAAATCAATGAATCTATAGGCAACAGTGTCAATGATTCTATACTATTCATGTCCATGCTATCAATGCAATATCTATATCCATCCATTTCTATATCAATGCTCAATGTCGATGCACAACAATCAATCAGTGAAATCAATGAAATCGTACGATACAGTAAATCCATAAATCCATCAATAAATCC